ATTTTTCATTTTGATATAATCCAGCTTGTGCTTGTGGTATTCTAAGAAACGGTTGTTTACCCTAATATGGTGAAGATTTGCTCCTATTTTCTAAGAGTTTCATCGTTGTAACCTCATATTAAGTTCTGGGGTACGTTTTCAGTTTTTGCACATTGTGTAGCCCCTTCTGTGTTAAGGCCCTTTCAGGGACGTTGTACACACCATTCTGCTTTTGTTCTCTGACCCAGACTTGGTTACAGGGACATAATGATCATTGCATGAGAGACTGGAAAATGTGCATTTCAGGCATCCACTGTCAAATCAGGTTGAAAACCTATTCAGTCATAATCTTACTCTGAGCAAGTCGATTCTGTTGCTTCTTGTTTGTTTATTGTGACACTGGGGACTGAACCCAGGGGCACTCTGGCGCTGAGCTTCAACACTGGCTTGCTTTTAACTGGTGTTACAAGCGTGCTCCCCTGCGATGGCTTATTGCTTCATTTAAAAAATAAACTATTATTATATGCTGGCTTTCACCCCTGGGGATTCAGCTGAAGGGTTTCCCTCTGCAGAGTGCTCACTCCTTTGGGATCCACAACATGGTCCCGAAGGACTTACGGGGCCTTAGCCTGGTGAATTTGGTCCGTTGTGTTTCCTCTGGTAGAAATGAAACCACGAATTCCGGGGTTTCTGGCTTTCCCTGCGTGCTGCCTCTTGGGGCAGCTGCGTCTCTGAGGGCGCACACAGCCAGCTCTCCCCGCCCCGGCCGCGCCCACTGGGCTGAGGCCACCACTCCCGCCGTTGATGACATCCAGGACAACCACCGCAGTTGGACTGCTGCACGATGGCAGCGCCCCCTGGATCCCCATCTGCCCAGGCTGCAGAGGCGCCGCTGTCCCAGCCCGGGGAGCAAACGGTGGAGATGGGCTCGGTGAGCGCCAAGCAGGGCAAGAGGGAGCGGGCTGGACCGGGCTGAGAGCGGAGGCTGTGCATGGCCATTCGCAGTCCCTTCTTTAGGTTGACCTAGCAGGGAGGCTGAGGACATTAGGTGTCCCAAAGATTATAGGATGGGAAATGATCTAAGTGAAATAATTTGCTGGATTCTTTCAAACAGTTCAGCAGGACCAGGGCAGGTCCAGAGGGTCTTATTGCCAGGCCATGGCTCTTGTCCACACGCTACAAGTCTCCTGGGCAGGGAGGGCTTTGAGCTATGCGTGAGAGGGCTGCCTCCCTTTCCCAGAGTCCAGACAGATCCTGTGGCCTCAGTCTCTGCCTCAAACCCTGGTCTTGTCCAGGCACTAGGCTCTCCTTAGGGAGACTGGCCCCAGAGATGACCTCCTAGTCGGCTCTTGGGGTGCGATTGAGGGCCCAAGAGGTTAGGAACCTCCAAATGGTGTGATATTGAATGCAACATGTGCTCCCAGCCCCATAGTCAAGGTATTCTGTGGCTTCATTTGACCACCATCTCAGTTCCCTATCTTGACCTGGTGCTTACTTTCAGGGCCAGGAATTATGGCCTCCCACAAAGAAGTGAGAGCAGGGCTTGGTGGCACACACGTAGACCCAGTTACTGAGGAGGCTGAAGCAGGAGGATCACTTGATTCCAGGAGTTCAGAACCAACCTGGGCAACATAGCAGAACCCTTCTCTTTAATTTAAAAAAAAAAAA